ACGGCAAACAAATATTAAGATAAACTCAAAGCATAGTCTTACACGGTAATCAAATGATCACGACTTACAAGGCCTACAGTATAGACACAAGAAGCACGAGGAGGGTTGAACCATCCCCTAAAAGGCTACAAGCCTAAACAATGACATAAACAATTAAAAAACTGTATCAACAATAACATCACAGTACTTAATAAGTTTTCTGATATCTTCTAAGACCAAGCTAGTTTCCTTAAGTGGCAGTGTAGCGCCCCATTTGTTTCAGGATTAATTGGAGATTTTTATTATTATTTTATTTTATTTTATTCCGAAATTATTATTCGAGCTCGATAATTCTATTTCAATTATGTGCTCATAATTGTTAATTGTATTAAGTTTAATATCGAGTCGAATAGTATTATTATTTTATTAAACTGCCAAAGAGAAATAATTACTTGATGATGTATTTATTAACGTGCGCTAATAAATATATATTATGCCGGTTTCGTGAATTTAAAAGATTTACGAGTCGTCATATTTTATTTTTCCGAGCATTATGATTATTCGGAGTTTATGAGATTTAGCCCGATAAATCAATAGTCTAAAACAGCCGATTCGTAAACCGTTGTTTACGAATTAATGGGGATTATTTATTATTATTATTATTATCATTGTTATTATTATTGAATGACTAAATATTATTGTTTGTCTAATTGTAATTAATTGTCTAATTGTATATTTTAATTATTTTAAAATAATGTATGTATTAAATAAATATTACCCGGTTGTTATTTTATTTTATCGCGCGATTAAAACCGAGCCCGAGAGTCGGATTATTTTTGGCGAAACCAGTATGGATCGGCCCGTGAGCCAAAACCGCACAGAGATGGATCGGCCCGTGAAGTTCATGAACATAAAAAGGAAGTCAAACTTATATTCATGATATATTAAAATATATCATCTTCTTCATTTTATTACATACATATATTGTATGTATATGTTGTTCACGTGTACAGCTTCAATTAGCATCTCCCCATCTTCTTTGATCCGAGATTTCCTCTAGCCTCACATGTTTTGCATCTTTAAATCCGATCCCATCTCATCTTGTCATCACCCTCCTCATCGCCATCATCAAGTTTTCTCTCCCTCTCCGTTTTTCTTTCATTTTATTATTTTCGCCGGAAAACTCCCAGCCACGCCGTCATCTCCGTCCTCCATCTCCGCTCACCACCATCTCGCCGGGAAGCTCCGCAGCACCTCACGAGGACCCCACGCAGCAGCCTCCACCGTGAACTCCTCCACCGGCGAGCCCATTCAGTCCGCGACGAGCAACCGCCTGCAATTTCCGGTGAGCCCGTCTCAGCAGCCTGACCTCCGTTCGAGCAGCTTCTCGGCTTCCCATCTTCCGGCGACCTCTGCCACCGAGCTGCTGCCGGCGTGAAGCTAACGTGCGGCCACTTTCGGTTCCTTTTCATTTCCGAGTTTCATTCACGAGCCGATTTCCGACCCGTTCGGCCGAGCCGTTGTTCGGCCCGTTTTTCCTCCGTTAGCTCGTGAATTTTCGAGAGTGGGTAACTCTTTCAAACTCTCTTGTTATTCCGGTCGTGTTCGTATATTACATGATAGCTAAATATATTATTCGTTTTAACGATTATTTGTTAGAAGTCGGATTTTGGTTAGAATTATTACCGGCTCGTATATGTCGTTTCGGTTATCGTATTATGTTCGTGACCTCGTTAAACCGAATATCATGCTGTTACTATGTTAAACCTCAATGTGCTCGTTTATTTGCTGTCGAGAAAATATATTGATCGTTGTCGAGTTTCGAACCATCCGTTTTTATTCGTTGGTATTTTATGTGAAAAATATGTTTTTCGCTGATCTGTTGTGCCGCATTTTAAGCTGTCTGAGACTGGTTATTTGAAAATATGGTCTTCACATGAATTGTAGTATGTTCATTTTTCTAAACCTGGGATTTGGAATTTCTCGATTCCGAGTTATATCGAATAAGTTGTGATTTTTACAAAAATGTTGCGCGTCCAGTTTTCCTGCTACCCGGCAGCGTATCTGTAATTAATGTGTAACCTGTTTATCATGTTGTAATGTGCTTGTATGAACTTACACTCTTCATGAAAGTTGTAGATATATTTCTTGCCTTTCAAACGAGATAAATTTCTTGTCGATACGTGCTCTGTAGCTCGAGTTATGATTTTATGAAGATAGATATGCATGAGTTAGGAATTATCCTGTTGGCAGAAATATGGATCTGAATGTTAACAGCTTTTTGACCATTCAAATGAGCTCATATGTTTCTGTATTCTAAATGAAAGTTGTAGACAAATTCCTAATGTTTAATTTGAGACTTGAACCATATTATTTTGAGGTCTGTAGCTCAAGATAAATGTTAAAAATTGAGGTGCTATCCATGTTCATTATACTTGTTTTGACAGATTTACTAAATCACATGTCTTGTGTTTAAACTCGTGGTTAATGTGATTATTTGCCAATATGATCTTCAGCAAAGTTGTAGACATTTGAATTATCTATCATGTGGTTTTTGAAATTCATTAAAAGCATGACTGTAGCTCCAGTTAAATAGAAATTACTGAAGCCTGGTCAAGTGTATTTTTCCAGTTTTGGACTGTGACTCAAACTTTGATGTTTGTTGGATTATCACCGGTTAAATGACCTCATTTTCCTGCAGTGTCTTCATAAGAATTGTAGATTTATCTCTTAGGATTCCAATGCAATTTGATTGATGTTCATACGAGTTGTGTGCTGAAAGTTATGTCGATTTTAAAAAACGTTGCCCGGGTTAACTTTTCAAAACTTGTGTGGATTCATCTAATGCATGCTTGAATGCTTGCGTGGACTTAGTTGAACTATGTAAATTGTCGAATAGTCTTTGATAAGGCTATTTTAATAAATGTAGGTGTTTGACGAATCGACCTCGCCGACTACTATTCTTGTGTGTTTGACTCGATCGCTACCAGGTGGGTTCATTTGTGTTGAATTTACATTTATCGCACTTGTTATTTTGTATAAATGTTTGTCGCGATAGTTTCTGTATGCTTGAGAACCCTAGTCTAAGTGTCCTGATGGTAGTGCCTTTGACGAATGCATAATCAGTGGAAGTCACCTGCCCGTTGTATCCGGGAGGTGGGCGCCCGAATCCGTGTAGAGCGGAGGGGATTGTCTGAACGCCCGAATCCGTGTAGAGCGGAGTGGTAATTCAACTTCACTGTCTCCTGGTAAGATCCTACGCCCATTGCATTCGGGGTGGGAGTGCTTCCAGTTACATCCTCGCCGATGTCTGGTCGGGAGGTTTGTTGTATGTACATAGGAGGTTTGCGATAGGGACTAATAGGGAATTAGATCTGGATTCTATGCATACATTATTTATGGTTATGGATCTTTATGCGAAATATACTGTGCGGTAATGGTGAGTATGATGGTTGTACTCACCCCCATTTTCTTTTCTGTCCTCTTGTTCCTCTTCCTATCCTTTTAGGTTGAGCATGGTTGGCGGCGGCAACGAGAGACGATCGAGTGGTGGTCGTTGGATTGTGTGTTACTTGCTTCCGTTTTTATTATCTCGATAGATCATTTGTTTAACTTTGAATAATGATGCTTCCGCTTTAATTACCTTGGACATGTTGGTTAGAACTTGGATTTTCCGTTGAATTATTTAATTATGCATGACTGGGTTTGAGGATTATGAATAATTGGAATTTCATTTTGAACTGTTAAATTTTATCTGTGTAAATGTGTATTTGTTTTAGTTGTTTAAGTAGCGCCCGTTGAGTGTTAAAGTTTTAATTGGGATTTTGCGAAAAATAAACTCTGATTTTTATAAATAAATTTGGTAAATTCTTTAAAATAAAATGGGGCGTTACAGTATGGTATCAGAGCTAGTCTGCGTTTCTGTAAACTATCTCTAATGTTGGTGTGTTTAAATGACCCTTCGACCACTCTCTTTCGTCTCGCCGCGCCAACTCGAGGTATGAGTTTTGGTTGTTTTATTTATTATGGGGATTAGGACTATCCACCTTTGTTATAATATGAATTCTAGTGTTTTGTGATGACTCTAGAAATTTTCTCTCTATAAGTTTCTAGTTAGCATCTTGTACGAGCTATCTCATAGATAGAGGAGATTTGCGTTTATGCACCACAATTTTCTGGTGACCAACGTCAGGATGCCTCGTCGAGATTAGACAACCGAGAGGTCCCGAATGTGCGGGATCCTTCGAACGTCTAGGGCAGTTGACAAGTGGACCAGAGGAGGCATGGTGGAATCCAATCATTGGAGTGTGAGGATTGGAACTTAGTGCTTCGGATGTGTTGTCATTCGAAGCCAAGAGTTTTAATGATTGATTAAGTATTATTAGTATGATTCTCGAAGATGGCGAAATCTCAAGGAAAGCGATGACTACTTTTATTGCGTGGATTATGAACGTTGACAGCGAAGGCTGGCAGTTTGACGGAATAACTCCGTAAACTCAAGTGGATCTAGCGTACTGTATACGCAGAGTCCTAACTCGACCATTCTGTTATCGTTCGTTATACCGCCTACTGGCATTGAGGCCAGAAGAGGATCGTGTCATTTCATTTCAGGTGCGAATGAATGAGATTGGTGATCTACGCCAGAGAGGATCAAACGGTGGACGAATATGGTTGAGTCCTCATGGGGATGAACTCTCCTACTCGACATTTGGTCAATACAGAGGGAGAATCTCGTGAGTATGCTCTCACTTAGGACGAGGATGAACTGAGCAAGGAGTGGACAACTGACTGGGAAATCGAGATCGTGTGTTGTCTATTAATCTTTCCGTTTTCTGTGTTTTATCTTTCAATCTATTGTGCAATTCTTGTATTTGATATTTGGAATTAA